TTCAAGCAGTGCCCAGTGCCTCCCAGGGAAGCTGCCCCATGCGAGCATGGACAGTATAGATGTGATGGTCAGAGATGGTCCGGAGCCCTTCCTATAATGAATTAGTGAAGAGAGCAAAGGCAAAAGGCTGGGAAGGAGAAAAGGACAAGGCTCTGTGAGCCAAGAAGAAATCCAAGGGCTGGGGAGATGCTTAGTCAGGAAAATTCTTGCTGTGGAAGCATGAAGATCTGAGTTCAAACCCCAGCACCCACACACCCAGGAAGACCCCTGGAGCTGACAGGCAGCCAGAATAGCCAATGTTGAGTTCCAGAGAGACCCTGTCTCAAATAATAGCAGTAATAATAATAATAACCATCATTATTATTAATTAATAATACAGGGAGTGATAGAGGGCAACATCCAACATTGACCTCTGGTCTACACACACACACACACACACACACACACACACCCACACCAGGCTTGCATACTTTTAATCCCAGCACTGAGGTGGTAGAGACAGGAGGATCCAGCCAGCCTAGCCTAATTGGTGAACTCCTGGCCATTGAGAGAACTTTTCTCAAAAAAGGTGGACAGTATTCCCAATAACAACACCTGAAGTTATTTTCTGAGATCTAGACACACACACACACACACACACACACACGTGTATACACATACATGAATGTTGGTATGCACACATGCATGTATTTAAAAAAGTATGAGGCATAAGGTGAACAAGTGTATTTTAAAGTGAGAAGGAAGGCCAACCTTCGGGACACGCCAGACATGAGGTTGTTGCGCAGAGGGTTGGAAGAAGAGGTGGTTTTGTTTGTGAGGGACAGTCTAAAGAGCAGTGGAGGCCCAAGGTCAAACACACCCACTTGTAGAACCTACAACCAGACTCCAGGGAGCCTGCAGGCCTTACTGCTTGACTTTAAGGTTATATATTTGGCGTGTATGGCAGGGGCTCTGGTTTCCTAATGACAGCACATAGTTATGAAAACTCGTTTTGAGTTGATTCTGACACAAAAACACAGTTGCTTCCCCCTGGATTCTCCCAACACAAACACACTTCTGACACCAGATTTGGGGGTGGTCCCCACAAACCCAGCAGTTCTCCAGAGAGTAGTCTCCATGACATAGACTCAGACCCCATAGGCTAAGGTTTAGTCCCATAAGACTGCCCCCAACCCTCAGTCTTCTGATCTTAATTCCCGGTGGTCACCTGCACTCCTGACTGGCCAGCTATCAACTGGGTTTTCCACCAAGTCCTCCTGTGTTGATGGCTTACTAGGGTGCCTCACAGGGAAGCCCTTTCTCTTTATTATGAAGGACGGTGATGAGCAATCAGACAGAGAGAATCACAGAGCAAGGTCCACTAGGGTGCAGCACACTGGAGCTGATGTCCTCATGGAGTTGGGTACCCTGTCCTCCTGGCCTATGACTGCTGCTCACCAACCCAAAAGTCATCAGATCTCTTGGTCCACAATGCTTTGTAGAGCTTAATCTAGGTCACCCACCCTGAAAGTTTTGAGTGGGTGCAATGGTTCTAGCATTTTAATTGCCTGATTTCATCCTCAGCCAGCGGGGTCCCACTTAAGCCATCTCCTTATGGTAAACTCAGGTGTTACCTGAAGGATCTCATTGTGACAATGTCTCAGGAAATCACAAGAGTTTGGGAGTTCAGTGACAGGAACTGGGGACAAGAACCAAACACATGATGATGATAATGACCCTTTATCCTCTGGGGTGTGTTCCAAGGCCCACAGTGAATTCTGAAACCACAGATGACACCGAAGCCTTCAAAAGACTACTGCACTGCCTCGACTATTGCCATGACCTAGTAATGAAAAACGCTACTGACTTAGAGGTGAATAGTGTACACAGCCTGGACACTCTGGGGAGGGATGGCTTACACCAGGGGGTAGTGTACACAGCCTGGACACTCTGGGGAGGGACAGCTTACACCAGGGGGTAGTGTACACAGCCTGGACACTCTGGGGAGGGACGGCTTACACCAGGGGGTAGTGTACACAGCCTGGACACTCTGGGGAGGGACGGCTTACACCAGGGGGTAGTGTACACAGCCTGGACACTCTGGGGAGGGACGGCTTACACCAGGGGGTAGTGTACACAGCCTGGACACTCTGGGGAGGGACGGCTTACACCAGGGGGTAGTGTACACAGCCTGGACACTCTGGGGAGGGACGGCTTACACCAGGGGGTAGTGTACACAGCCTGGACGCTCTGGGGAGGGACGGCTTACACCAGGGGGTAGTGTACACAGCCTGGACACTCTGGGGAGGGACGGCTTACACCAGGGGGTAGTGTACACAGCCTGGACACTCTGGGGAGGGACGGCTTACACCAGGGGGTAGTGTACACAGCCTGGACACTCTGGGGAGGGACGGCTTACACCAGGGGGTAGTGTACACAGACTGAACACTCTGGGGAGGGATGGCTTACACCAGGGGGTAGTGTACACAGCCTGGACACTCTGGACAAAGGATTAATATTTCCAGGGCAGGGCAGAGTGAACTGGCACAAGATTCATCACACTGCTCAGAATGGTACACAATGTTAATGACTTATTTACTTCTGGAATTTTCTACTTAATACCTACAGACCACTTTAGATCGTGGGTGATTGAAAATGTATGAAAACAAAACTATGGATAAAGATGGATTATTGTGTGTCACTCTGATCCTTAAGTAACAATGGATCAGTGTGAGTAAAGACAGTACAAAAATGTAAAAAATGGAGAGTGAATAGTAAAGTTTAGAAATCAGAACTGAGGCCCAGAGGGGGTCAGATCCAGGATCTGTCTCTGGAACCCACTGACACTGGTTCATGCATGTGGCTTGTCACATGCCAACCCCTGATGTCAGCCTCAAAGTTACCTCTTCCTCTGAGGTCCAGGAAGCTGCCCCACCCACAATCTCAGTAAGGTTGTACCTCACAGTCCTGGGTCTCTCCCCTCTGAACATGGCATCCCTTTAAACATCCTCTACCTTTTTCTCTCGTTTCACAGCAGTTTCCCAGGTAGTTGTAAAGTTCCTTGCAGGTAGGCACCACAGCTGCATTCTCCCTCCCAGGCAGAGGCTAGGAAGGATCCCACCCTAAAATGGCATGGGGACAGGTGTCAACCCTGACCAGAACCATAACAGCCAGTTAATGGCATACTGATGACTTCCTTTTCCGTAAGAAGCATCAGCAGATATACAGTGCTTAGGAGTCTAGAAACTATTCATTGGCTCCCTCACTGAGGTTCTTAAGGGAGTCTCCAGGGCATAATACTCTGAAAGCTCTCGCTCTCCAAACCCAAGAAAGAGGTATTTTTATCATAAGAAAACACAGAAAAGACCCTTGGATCCCAGATGACCACCCATCCCATCACTCCAAATACAGGAAGCAAAATCAACAACCTGGTATAGTGGTGTGTGCCAGAGTGGTGGAGTAGATGTCATTTAACTTTCATGATTTTGACAAACATGAATCTCGAGCAAGGGATCAGAATAACATTCTCTCAAACGGGGCTGCTAGCTGGTGAGCAGCCTCACGGAGCTCCAGGGATAGAGTGCTCTGTGCTGATGGGTCCTGAGCCAGTGTTTGTAACACCGCACAGCAGTGCTTCGAGCATTACCTCCCCAAGAAACCACTCTAAGTACTAAAGATTTAAAAAAAAAAAAGCCCAGGTACTACAAATTGCACTTAGCAGCTACCCAACCATATTATTTCCTTCCCCTCTAATGTAATTTCTCTATTTTTAAAAAAATATATATAAATGGCTTTGGCTATTTAAAAAAGAATTATCCACCCTCCTAAATTAACCTGGCTTTCATTTGTTAACAATCAAACAAGCTAAGAAGTAAAATGAGGCAGTTATTGTAACTAGCTCCTAAGTAACTAGATGTAAAGATTCCCTCCAATCACCATTTCAAATGGCAAATTGTTCTGTCAGGAGGACAAGGCTGGGGAGAGTAGGGCGGGCAGAGATGGAAAGCCAGACCCTGAAAGCCAAGCCAAGCAGTTCGTCCACTGTGTGGGGCGCATCTCTGAATAGAACCACAAGCCATCCCGCTCCGGCCCCCTCACTTCTCAGCCATTCATTCACCGGTGTCAGGTATAATTATTAGGCAAGTGCAGGGAGGAAACAATTGAACGAGCCTAGCAAGAGCCTCACCCTCACAGGCCTAGGGCCTGGCAGAAGTCAAGCAGGTAGGCCAGATGCTTCCAGCATTATTTCATCTTTCAGTAACCATTGACCTGCTATGCAGAGGAACTGGGGTTCACCCTAGAGCAACACAGGACAGACCCTTTTCCCAGTCCCATTTCCAGGCTGCCTTGTGGGAGGAGTTAAACAAAATGATCTCAGTGATCAGTGCTGCAGAACAAATGGAACAGGACGTTGGGACGGAGGCACCGAAGGCATGAAGCTGATGAGGAACCAGCTATGGCCTCAGGCCCATGGCCTAGGGCCCCAGCTGCCTGGCCCTTCCCAATGCACTCCCACCGGCGGGCATGGACAGAGCTGGTGGCTGGCTGACTTCTGCCCCACCGCTACTTGGATTGAGGGAGGGGTGGGGGAAATTTTCTAAGAGAACCCCACCAGGCCCAGCCACGTTCACAGGAACCACTCAAAGCGTGCCAGGAACCCGCCAAAGCCAAAAAGTCTCGCCGCCAGAGCCCGCGCTGCACGCCGGCCAGCCTCCACGCTATCGGGCTCTGCGCCTGCGCGCAG